CCCTCTGCAGAGTCTTCCTGCCCTCAGGCAGGAGATGTTCTTCAGACCTCCTCCATGTGTTAGGTGCTTGGCTGGGCTCGGCTGCATGAGGCAGAGATGTGAGAGATGCACTGGTGTGGCCGGGAGGAAAGATTTGGGAGGGCAAGAAGCATTGACGTGATGGTGCATCCGTCCCTGCTCTGCCTCTTCCCTGCTTTCCCTCTCCCGTGTCTCACCCACAGCAGCCCCTGAGCTGCTGGGCCCCATCCCACTGACACCAGCTCCTTGCTGTGCCCCCTCTTAGGAGCAGCAGTGCAAATATCCCTCCACGTATCCATGAGAGGCAGCGTGGGTTGGCATTTGGCAAAGTCACAGGGGTGCCGAGTTAGTGCTGAGGCAGCAGATTTTAGGAGCAGGCTGGCTTCTTGTGTGCGCTACCTGGGATTTTCTCTGGCATTTCTTCCAAGCCTCTACCCCTTCCTGTGCCTCTATGGGGTGGCTCACTCATTTTTTCTTTATTTTTCCCTTCCTTTTTACCTCGGGGCCATCAGCAGGTTTGTTTCCTGATCTCTGTGCAGGGTGTCTGCCTTGAAGACAAACTTCTCACCCTTTAGTTACTAAAGAATGTGAGGAATGAGGCCCCTGGCCCTGCTGCCACCCAGGGCTGGGTTTGGACGCAGACAGAGCGAGGTGACTGCAGCCCCGGGAGCCGACCCTGTCCCTGCAACCACTGCTTGGTGGCAGCAAAGGAGAGGTGGCAGTGGCATGAGTTGAGGGCAGGGATGAACTATAAGGGCACATCTGAGCACTTCATTACACTGAGAAATACTCGGTGGTGGTGCCAGCAGCGGTACAGCCGTACAGCCACAGATCCGGATCCACCGTGGAGAGTTTCAACTTGTTTTAGCAATTAAGTTTCCTTGACAACATTAACTTCTGAGGCAGATTCATGAGTAAATCAGCCTGGCAAGAGGAGTGAGCTCCTGATCACACTGCAGTGGCTCTGGGGTATTTGCAAGCACGGGTGGGTTGGCTGGGCAGGAGCAGGGGGTTGCTTCCACCCCCCCGTAGCTGACGTGACTGTCGTGACACTGGGTATTTCCTTTTACAATTGCATCTGCCAGAGGGGTGCATGAGACAGAAGAGCTTTGGAGTCTGCAGTGGAGTCCGTTACGGGCCCTGTTTGCCTGCCCTGCCAATAGCTGCTCCCCTGTGCCAGTGTGGGCAGCACTGTGCTCTGGCCTCTCTGGCTCCCAGCTGGGTATTTGGGCTTCAACCACAGGGAGCTGTGAGTCTGTGATGTGCCCCTGGGCTCTGCAGCGTGCCAAGGCACCACACATCCCCTTCCACCAGAAAACAGCTGGGAACAGGGAGTGTGCTCAGTTGCCCTCCCTGATTGCAGGTGTGTGTAGCACGGGCTCCTGCAGTCACACTTGAGGTGGCTGTGTCTGTCCTTGTGACTGAAGCAATGACCCCACGGTCACGTCCACAGAGGCCTTGAATAGACCCAAAGGGAGCAATTTCTTGCACCCAACCCTTGCTCTTCACAGCTGGAGCGGCTGCACCAGCAGAGGGGTATTCCCTGAGCTGTGCTGTCGAGGGGACCTGCGTACCCCAATGAGCTCTCAGTTCACCTGTGTGCTCTTCCTCTCTTGCCAGAGGAGTGCAGCACTCGCTGGGTTGGAACAAAATCCTGCAGCATCGGGGATTCTTGCTCCTCTCTGCACTGGTGTCTCCTGATAGGGGGTGGAAAGACCCATTGCACTGACTGCTTTCACCCTTGATCCCCCTTTCAGAGCACGGTTGGAGAGAACCGATGGCTTCAAGGGCACCTGGTACAGCTGCTGCTCAGTTACTGTGATTTGAACACAGCGGCAAGATGGGCACAACGCTTCAGTTTGCCCAGGGAGACGCTTCCTTATGGAGTGGCTGACGAGCTCCAAAAGCTTCAGCTCCAAGAGAGGTAAACACCCTGTTTTGGTGCCTTTTCAATGTAGTTTACTTACCATACAAGGACTACATATTTGCTTAAAATAATCTGCCACAGTGCTTCCTTGGGGAGATAATGTTGTGTAAACTTCCTCCATTTACTCAGATCACCTCTTGGCCATGTCCGTGCTGCATCTGCTTTTCGTAAGCCTGGCAATGTCTGTGAAAGGTGCGTTTTAAACTCACTCCTGAGTAGAAGCTGTAGGAGATGTAGAGGGGTCTTCAGACTCCCTCTGCCAGATCAGCAGTGCAAATGAAATGATGTGGGTAGGATCTGAATATGCATCTGTTTTACTGAGTTGATTACCTATCAGATTTTTCTACGTACTCTGCATCCCCCACTGTACTTTAATCTGGTTTAATGCCTTTTAGGAGACTTTTTTTTCCATTTGTATTTCTTTTCTTCCTCCTTCGACAGCTCATAAGCCATTTTTCATCCCAGTCTGCAATTTTTGCCTCATCCAAAGGTCTCAGAAGTTAGGAGAAATTTTGACATTTGGGGTCAGATCTCAGAAGAGTCACATTAATTGAATTTGGGATTAAACCGGACTCTGCAGCACAAATTTACCAAGTGAACTTAAGAAGCCTTTAGCCCCCTAATTTGTCTCCTTTTCTTCCTCTAATGCAATCCCAATAACACAGTGCTGTGGTTCGGGAGCCCCATGTTGTATGCAGCAGATTAGCCTGCAGTGGCCACAGTTCCTCCCCTGATGTTCCTCCTTCACCCATTTCATGACTTGAAACAAGACTACAAAGGCAAGAGGTACAAAAAATGAATTGAAAAATCCTGATATTGAGAAGGGTTCTTACAGCTCCTTGATTTCAAGAGCAAAGAACTGTGCAAACAGGTCAAGGATCTCTGTGAACCTGCTGGTGTAGGAGGAGCAGAGGGGAGGGCTGGAGGGAAGAGAGTGGCCAGGGTCCATGCTGTGTGTGGACAGAGCTGGGCAAAGCTGAGAAGAGGCTCAACATTTAGGAAGGGACATAGAGCCACCTAAACTGTTGGGAGCTGTCTGATCCCCACAGGAAGCAAAGTCTGGAGCAGTACCAGGGCTTTTCAGCTCTGGTTCTGGGTAGGCTGTGCAGTGTCTCTTCAAGAAAATGGCCCAAGGTCATCCTCTCCATGCAACATTATCCCAGGCAGTCGCTCAGCTGTGCCACCAGAGGAAGAAAGGCTGTGTTTGAAAACATGACTCAATGCAGATCATTTGCTGAGCTCCAGTAATTCACTTTTATGCTCACGTGAGCAGACTTTGCAGGGCTGCTGCAATCAAACGGCATTTTCTGTGCTCGTGCAATTCCTGATTGATTGGGTTCTGCACACAGAAGAGGACGTGTCCCTGACTGCTCACTGCAAATGCAGGAGAGCTCTGGGCTGAGTGCTTGGGGCGCAGCATAGCTCAGACCCTTGCTGTCATTTGAGAGGCAATCGTGGTTTTCCAGGTAGAGTCAAGGCTTTTGTCAAAAGCAGAAGAGAGGAAATGGTGATAATTTTGGAGTTCCTTAGGACTCTTCCATCGTTGTACACATTGGTACTCTAGGGTGTTGTGCTGGACTGGACTTGGCACCAGTTGCCTGGTGTCTCTCTGTTTCCTTACTTGGGCAAATGCATTGGGGTTTTTTTTAGCACTGAGATTGGTGTTTCCAGTTCAGAAGCCAGGTGAGAATAGAGGAAAGCCTGTGGGAAAATCTTGACTACTCCCTCAAGGTAACTATTTACAACTTGGTGCAAGCTGATAGTCCGTATCTTTAGCCTCCTGCAAGCATGGCCCTCGAAGCCTGCAATACTTGGGAGTGACTTCCTACACGGAGCTGAACTTCTCAGTGTGTGTGATGGAAAGCTGAATCGGATTTGCAATGTCCAGGAGGAGGTGATGATGGCACCACACGTTGCCTGTCTGGGGAGGAATAAAGCCAGCAGAAAGTTGATGGTCGCTGCTCCCTGGGTATCAAATGGATGCTCTCAACACCATGCCCTTGGTGTGGGAAGTAGAGGAGGTCCTTCTTGGCACTTCTTGGTCCTTTTTTGCAATGGGTCAGAATTAGGAGCTCCAGCTAACAGTTAGGATCTGGCACTGGCTGCCTGGTTCATGCCAACAGCTCACTAGGGAGTAAGAAGACCATTTTAAGAAGACCAAGCCTGAGACTGAGCGAGGATACCTGGTCTAACAGTTTATCACCAAGTTTATTTTCTTCAACATTACAGCACATTCCCATCTCCTGGAAGAGGAGCTTATGCAAAAGCCGCAGCTTTCATAACCAAAAATTGTACTTTTGGAGCATAGATTGGAGTAACTTGAATTACGTAGAAGGTGAATGAGAACGCCTTGTGTTATTGTGATTAATGCTGATGATTTTAGGAGAGTCTCACAAATGGCCTTGAACAGTTCATTTGCTGAGCTTCATGGATCTGATCTTTCTCCTGGTGCAGATCTGCACTGGTTCATGTTCAAGCCCCGTGTAACCTCGGGAAATATGGCACAGATGTAGCCATCCTCGAAACACTGCAAAGGCCCAGCCCACTTCTCCAGATGGTGCGCGGCTTTCTTGGAGCACAGGAAACTCTCGTCTGTCCGCAACGTGCTCCTGCTTGGCTCTGCTGCGTTGCTGGAGCTGCCCTCCTCCTCCTCCTGAAGCTGCACCAGCCACCAGCTGGGAGCCAGAAGGTTTTTGCATGATGCATAATCCCTCAAAACACAAAGGGGTGGTTAATGGGAGTGTGACTTAGCCACAGACTCTGCATCTAGAAAGATAAAACACATCACGACGTCTCTCTGCTCCGGGAATCCTGCGTGGTGCAGGGGTGGAGCGAAGGCATCCCCCCTAGGATGTGCTCTGCTGCTCGTGAGTTGTGACAGATGAGGAAAGCCCTTCGTGCCCCAGTTTACTCATCCCGTCGTGACACCTCCTGCAGTAGCTGCTATAAAACCAGCAGAGCCTTGGAACCCAATAAAACAGTCTGTCTGCCTTATTTATTGAGCTAACAAAGCAGCAGGTTCCCAGAGAACGAGGTGGTACCAGCATATAAATGATATCATCTCTGCCACCGGTCACACCACGTGCGGCTCCGGAGCTCTGCAGGTGAGAATATTCCTGGAGACCTGAGACCGCACACCTTCATTAAATATTTTATACAAATATTGACTTCCCCGTGCACACAAACCCACGGAGAGGAGTGTTTGCACAGTGAAAGCTGCTGTGCTGCAAAATTAGGCACACAATCCCATAAACATAAGGTTAGTAAATAGTTTCTCGAATAATAAACCGCTTCAAGTCTCTATGGGAAAGAGGCTATCCAGAAATCTGTGGTATGTCCAAAATAGCTGGATATTTTTTATTAGTTTCTTTCCTCTGATTGCATCATCTGGCTGAGACACCGCAGCAATACACTGACCTTCCAGTTACAAGGCCATTGCAAGAGGCTCTGCTGCGTTTTGGATTAAAAGAAAAAGAAAAGTGCTGTGTAAGATCCTGTTGTAGGAAATCAGTCAGCTCATTTCTGCAGGCATCTTCCAACATTCCCAGGGTATTAATGCGCAGAGACCGAGTTTCTCCGTGTGGTGCCATCTGAAACCCAAGTGGAGGGAGCAGCACAAGCAAGGCGCTTGGTCTGTGGGTCCTGCTGGCTTCCCCTAAATGTTGAAGGTTTGGAAACTTTATTTCTGAACTTTCCTTCTAGTTAGTTCTGTTTAGCTCAAACCAGGGCACCTTATTTTACCCCTGTGCAAAGTAGGACAAACACTCTTGTGCAACATATGGACATTTGACAAGGAATGGGATGGAGGAGAAGAGGCTGGATAGCATCAGGGAGGTCCGTGAAGCCTTCCCAAGCCACTGCACTATAAAAGGAGGCAGGTTTCGTTCCTAAAAGGAGTGATCTCGACGTGGAGCAGCCTGAGAGGCTCCTTCTGGGCCGGTTTATGCTGTGGGGAAGCGTGAAGCTCCTGTTTGGACGCAGTGCTGGTCAGAGCTGCCTGCTCTGCTGCGTGTTACACCGTGGGAGCTAGCAGACTTCCACGCTAACCTCGAGGGCGAAAAGCAGTAAATCTCAAACGTGTTATCTCTAAATGTGGAAACAGCTGCCTCACTTTGTCATCCAAGTTGCCTCAGTTCTGGGAAAGAGGGCTGGGCACTGAGGACAGGGCTTGGGACTCCGACTCTGGCAAGTGTTTTGGTTTGGGTACGGTGCATGTGCATGGGGAGGTCTCGGATATGGTACCATTTCTGTGATAGGAATAAAAAGAGGGGGTGAGTCAAGATGGAAGCAACTGAGATGGCAGGGAAGGTGAGGACAGAGAGGGTAGGAGAAAGAGTTGGGTGCTGTGGGGAAATCATGTTCCTGATGTTCCTCCCATCTGGGGTTTCCTCTCATTGCATGGCTTAAGGTTGTTGCATCTGCTTCTGTGCAGGGTAGAAGAGGCCACGAAAGCAGATAACTATGAAGAGAGTAAGAAGAAGGACTATTACCAGCTTCCTATTCCACGGGCAAATATTCACTTCCTGCAGACGTGGGAAGAGACCTTGCAGTGCTGGGAAAAGGTTTTGCAGGTGAGCATCACTCTGGGATTCACTTTGCAGGGTCAAGGAGCAGAAGCTCCGTGGCAGGCTGGTACACAGGGCTGTGTGTGGGCCACTGCTACCAAATGTCTCACTCCTCAAGCCAAAACCAGCTTCTTTTAGGCTTGTCTGATTTGGGGGATGTGTTGGGAATTGCTGTGCCAGGAAATGTCCATGCAAGGGTAACTCAGCGCTGTGAACATTACTTGTCTCTGTAGCAGCTTGCACACTAGCAGAGAGGTGCAGCTGTTGGAAAGGAAATGCTTGTGCTCTGGACAGGCACTGTCCAGGCCGCTTCCAAGCGTTGGCAGTGTCTAAGTGAAGAAGGCTTTTGTCTGTGTTCAGCCTGGGCAGGTTGTTGGCATTGACATGGAGTGGAGGCCTTCGTTCGGCGTGGTCGGGAAGCCCCGCGTCTCCCTCATTCAGATCGCTCTGAAGGATGGGGTGTTCCTGCTGGACTTGCCACGGCTCCTCGAGCAAGCTGAGGCGGAGGGTGAGAAGGAGAAGCTTCCCCATTTCATCCAGAGGCTCTATTCAGATGCAGCCATCACTAAACTAGGTAATGTGCCTCTCTTCTTCCCACCTTGGGTCTTTACGCAGCTTATTCCTGGTAAATCCTAGATCCTCTTGGAGTTGTCATTCTCTAAATCCACTTACCCACCTTTTGTAGCCCTGGGTGTTCAGATACTGCCATGCAGGCTGACCAGGGTAACTGGGAATGATGGAAATGTCCCTCATTTCAGGTCAGACCAAATATTTCTGATTTAAACCTCCTGCCTCAGACTTGGGATTGCCTTAGTTCCGTACTAAGCCCTGACTTGCACCCAACCTGCAGTGCTCTGGGGCAGTCTGCCAGCCAGAGCTTTGTGGATTTGCTGGCCCTGTCCCAAAGCCGCTGTGCTGGACCCCAGAGCTCTCCAGGTTACCATTTGGTTTGAGATTCTGTTTGGAGGCTTTTGGCAGGAGTTGTTAAACCCGAGTTCAAGGGCAAATTCATAATTACCTTTCACTGACCTAGCAGATTTTAAGTAAGTTGATCTTAAACTCAGTGTTTTTCATCCACGTCTTCTCTCCCAGTCATGGCCTGCAAGAGAAGATCTTAGGAACAGGAGAGGTGGGAGTCTGCCTATCTGAGCACCCTTCCCACCAGTGTTTATACATGTATTGCCAGCATTTTGACTCTGACCTAGAAAAAGCTGTGATGCTTTAGCCATGATTTGAGTTTTCCTACCTGTGTGATTTGGGTGTTTTTTCCCTCAGGTTATGGGATGTCTGGAGACCTTAACAGCCTTGCAGCCACCTGGTCTGCTTTCAGAGACACCGATAAGCAAGCGCGAGGTGTGGTGGACCTGCTCACAGTGGACAAACAAGTAAGGATGCACATGGGAAGACACGGAAATTTATGCCTCCTGCATGTGGTCAGAGATAAGTGTCATGAATTCACAGCATTGTCCTTTTATATCCTGTATTGGCAGGGAGGGCTAAATGTGTAAATAGACCTTCTCTGCTTGTGGTTTCGAGGGTAATGTGATTCTGTAAAGAAAGACAGCAGCGTTTCATTTTCATCAGCTGAAATGTTGGAGCTTGATGTACTAATAACTTTTCTCGTAGCCTTTATAAAAGCCATGAAAAAGCAATTGAAATGGAGACGTAGCTCCATTCAACTAGGGCAGTTTCTGAGCACAGCTCGTACTTGAATTCAGTAAGAGTAAATCCTTGTAGAAATTCTGATACTCCGAGATCGTGCAATATTGAAGCAGATATTATGGAGTTAATGATTTGTAGAGAGCTCGTAACGTTCACAGGAGGGCTGCTGGTGGATCCAGCACAGGAATTTCTGTTCAGCTGAAGCACAGCTGTCTCTGGCTTTGCACACAGTGGTTTTGTTAAGGACAACCGTTTTAATGGGTAAAATTTACAGGCTGTGCTTAAGGCTGTGAGCTGGGGTGAACCCAGATCTTTGAGACTGATAACTTAACCTGGGAAGGGCTGCGGGGTCTGAAGTACCTGCCAACAGCTATTGCCTCAGTTTAATCTGAGAAATGGCAACTGCAGCAAGGCTGTTGCCCACTGTGTTACAGGAACACCTTTTCTCACTGGGGCTGAGCTGCTGCTGCTCTTGTGTTGAGCTTCCAACATGACTGAACACCCTGCAAACCTCTGGGAAGTCACTGACACAGCCCCATTGCTCTGCCATGCTGTACAACAATGCACTTTTATCCTTCCCTGCCTATGAAACACATTTCTTTCCAGCAAGTGTGTTTGTTAAACAAATAACCAGACGCCGTGTGTATCTTAATGCTATCCCAGCCCTTGTCTGAGACAACGGGATTCAATATGCCAGGCGAGAGATAAAAATGATAGGGTTCCTGCCTGACCCCACCCGCTGCAACAGGAGGTGTTGCAGAAGTTGCTTTATAACCGTGTGTTTTATGTCTTTTTCTTTCCATCAGCTGCAGAAGAGCTCCATTGACTGGAAGAAGGGCGGCCGGCAGGTTGATATGCTGTCCCCAGAGGACAGAGGGTTCAGGCAGCCGGAGAAAGGCCTCAGCCTCTTGGTGCAGCATGTGCTGGGGAAACCTCTAGACAAAACAGAGCAGCTGTCTAACTGGGAGAAACGGCCTCTCCGGGAGGAACAGATCCTCTATGCAGGTCTGGTCACTGATTCTGAGGCAAGGTGCTACAGATTGTCCATCACAGGCTGTGTGTGTCTCACCTCTGTCACCAGGAAAGTCGTTAAATAGCAAATTAAGAAAATAGCTTTGCACATTAGCTCCTGTTCAGAGAAGCCAGCACATGTTATGTTTGTCCTGTTGCAGACATGGCTTTAATGGTTGAAGTTTGAACTGTCCAGTGATTCATTATTTCACTTATGAAAGAATTCCTGTGCTTTGCAGATTTTGTCTGATGAAACATCACCTCAGTGGAAACTCCTCTCAGTAGCTGAGAGGAAGAAAGTCCACTTCCTTCTGCCTCATTTCACAGCCTTTCTGGGAGAGAAGCTCCGTGCTCATTTGTCATAGTGAAGTGCTTGTTACAGCAGGGGTAGATAGACATGGTGTCAGAGACTGCAGCACAGAACCGGTCCAGTGGAGGGTCCAGTGGAGTTTATTGCTGATTACCCCACAAGTCTGGCTCTAAGTCTTTTCCTGGGGCATCAAAGGACAGTCTACTGAAGTGAACCAGCCCTTTGTTAAATTCAGCTACCCTTGAAGTTGACACAGTTCCCACAAAAGTTAATTACTGGGACTTGTAAAACTGGCTTGGAGACTTGGTTCCCGTTGCAAGGAACAGGAGCCGCGTGTGGGCAGGTGATTGCAAACAACTCGGTCATTACTTTTTAAGATATTGCATCTAATGGGGAAGTTACCTTCCCATAGCTGAGATGTGATAGTAAACCATGGGTAAAGCCGCTGCTCAGTAACAATGGAGAGGGGAAGGGGTTGGCTGCAGGTATCTGCTGTGGTGGTTTGGACAGGCGCACTGCAATTTGCATTGCGTTAGAGGCAGAGATAGCAGAGTGCCTGTTGCTTTTTGACTCTGTGTGAGTTAGGTTATGATCCTGGCTGCATCAGTACAAGAGTGCAGGGTATGATGTTTGTAAGTTGGAGTTTCACAGGTTGTTTGTGTTCAGTGGCGTTTACAAAGGTGAGGGCTCTTCCTCCCTCTGTGTTGCGTTTGTAGGTTGGATTTTCACAGGTTGTTTGCATTCAGTGGCGTTTGCAAAGGTGAGGGCTCTTCCTCCCTCTGTGTTGCTTTTAGTGAAACCAGCTGAGGCTCTTCTTCCTTTATTTTCAGCTTCAGATGCATACTGTTTGCTGGAGGTCTACGAGAAACTCTGTAAGGATCCAGCGAGCTTTGGTCTGAGTTCAGACCTGACCGAGAGCCTGGTGGGAAAACCGAGCGTAAAACACAGGGCAAAAAAGCAGCTGAATAAACAAGAAGTACCTTCACCTTCTGGACAGGTTTGTAAACATCTTCAAAGAGCTGCACGTTGCTCAAGACCCCTGCAAATCATATGTTGCCTTGTCTCTCAGTCATACTGTTAGCTATGCATGGCATGTCTGTTTGGAGTCTGTTCTCAGGACTATTGCAGCAAACGTCTTCCTCGCTCCTCCTCATCACTGCTTTCTCCTTTGCGTGCCTTGCTTCAGCTTTCCCTGCAGTTTTAGGTTAATTGGTCTTTGCAAAGTGTTGGTGCAGGTCTGTGTGGCAGAATCTTGCTGCTAGAAATGCTCCTTCCACGTTTCCTCCGTGCTGTGGGTTTGAGTTGTGTGGCCCAGGTGTTGCACCAATGAGGTTTCATAACTCTGACTTCCTTACTGCTGCTTTTCACACTTCTACACTTTTGTTTCACATTGGGAATGCCTCCTTTATTGTGTCTGGAGTAGAAGTCTGCAAAGGTAAAAACAAGCAGTCCATCAAAAAGGTCTTCCTGCTACCTGCCCGCCACCACATCCTCCGTGCCTGCCCTACCCCTCCATCGTGTCTTGTGGCAGAGCCTTAAAACTCTGCTGGCCATAACTTGGAGCTGTGTGGCTCTGCTTAAACATCTTGGAACGTGACTGGTCCCCCTCTCTCAGTAATAAAGTTTTGCTTTTAAAATGCAACCGTCCGGTTGTTTATGCACCTATGAAAACATTTGCAGAGAAACAGTTTTGTTTATTAGCTGAGAAGACTCACTGTGGCTGTGTATCCTTCTGAGTAATCCCAAACATGTGTTTAGCTCCTGAAGTCAATGCTACCTTCCATGGTCAGACTGAGATGCTGTAGTCTCCTTTTCAGGATCCTCCTTATCAAGTGTGTGTAAATGCACACTATCCCATCAGTCTTAGGCAGGCAATAAACCACAAAGCTGCTCAGTGGTTTCCTGAACTCTCTGCATTCATGGCAATACTGGGTGTTACAGCAAATCTGGCTGCCTCAGAGATGGGAAAAGTGAGTACTTCAGGCTTGAATTACCTGGTGAAGCCATGGGTCATCTTTGTGTTCTGTGCAGTCAGATTCATTCACCCCAAGGAAGGTGGTAAAACCTGGCCTGGGACTCAGAAAAGCAGATTTCTCATGGCTCTGCATCCTGCCTGGCTTCCCAGTGTTTCCTGGCCCGCTATCTGAAGTGGGGCTAATGACACTGTTCTCCTTTATAAGCTTTTTGCTCTCTGCTGGCGTGAGACGTGAGAAAAAAGCTACATATGACATTGCTGGCCATTGAATAAACATTAGCTAAGAGCCAGCTGCTGCTTTGTACATCTGTCTGCTCAGAAGCAGCAGCACAGGGTTGGTGTCTTCCAGCAGCCTCGGCACCAAAGGGTCAGCTTGATCCATTATCACACAACTGTGATGTCCTGGGGCACAGCTGCATCCACCCAGGTCCTTGCAGCAGCCGGTGATGGTCCAGTCTGCCCCGTGCTGCAGAGCTTTGAGTGCATGCACCAGCTTCTGGAAGGTGCAGCATCGCATGAGTTGAGCTCTCAGATCCCAGCTGGTTCATGTGGTCAGCCCAGGTGGACGTGCACTGTGTGCCACAGCATTTCCAGACCTGAGGCCCCTCCTGCGGAGCTGATCCGCTGTGCTGCAGTGTGTCTCTGGCTCCAAAGGCAGTGTAGCCCTGCAGAGGTGGTGGCTGTGGCCTGCAGCCATCCCAGCCGGTGCAAGTTCTGACAGCAAAAGCTGAACATTGGAGGCTCCGTAATAACTCCCCCTCCCCATGAATTTAGCTATCGTACTTCTGGGAGCCTCCCAACGACAAAGTCTCCAACTGCAGGAACTCCCCCAGCAGCAGACATTTGAAATAAAATAAACAGAATTCAGGCACTGCCTATTTTTAAACTTCCAAAGACAACAAAGCTGCCCTGGTTGCTTTGTCTACCTGTTTCTCCCTCTGTCTGTCAGGTCCCCTTCCCAAATCATAGCTTGGGGACGTGTGTGTTAATCGCAATCTAATTCGATAGGGGAATAGCAGTCTTGAAGATGTGTTTCTGTCACTTCACGAAGATTTATGTCTGTGCAGAGCGTAGAAGGCTGCGTTGGCATTTCTCCAGGGAAGGGCTGCACATCCCATCACGTGCTGCCTCCTGCCTAAGTGGGAGATGGGCGATGTAGAAAGGACGTGAAGGGGGAATGGGGGCAGTTGTAATGCAGGCTGGATTTGCCATGGTGAGTGACTGCAGGGAGGCAAAACACAAACGTACTGGAAATCAGCCTTCTGGTCTGCTGCTTACGCATCTCTTGCCTTTCTGTAGCAATGCAAAGGATCCCAGAAGGAGACCCCGTGTCCCCCTGCTCCCATCTCCCCAAAGGAGTTCAGCGTGGTCTGCGATAACATGCTGCAAGGCCTCGGGCGCTATCTTCGCTGCCTTGGCGTGGATGTCCGGATGCTGGAGAACGAGGATGACCATAGGAAAGCTGCTGAGGTTGGTTTTGTGCGTGTGTGTGTGTTTATAGCTCCCATCTGTGCTCCTCAGGGCAAGCTGCTGCTTGCTGTGTGACCGCACTGGTCACTGGTGCCGAGCAGGAGCTGCCCAGCCCATGCTTCCCCCACTGCCCATGCTGAGAGCCACTTGTGTGGGTCAGCCCAAGAAGCTGTGCCATGTGGCCACTGGTACTGCCTGGTCCCTACAGCAGTGCATGGGCTTGGGTCTCTGTTTCCAGGAGAGGGGAGGTGAGCAGAGAGCTGTGATCTCAGCTCTGGTGTCTGCACGTTTGTCATCGACAGCTGGGACGCTTCAGGTCATTAGAAGAACACAAGCAGAGTGTAAAGATGCGACCTGCAGTCTCAAGGGTCTTCAATGGGGAGGTGGTGGTGTGTTTGCAACAGGACAGAAATCAGAGAAAAGAACCCCAAATTCACTTAGGTTTCTAATGGGCTTCAGTTTGGGCTTACAGGGAAGGTATTTGCCTGCCCTGTGCCTGAGTCAACCGAGCAGAACTATAATCAAAAGGTGGTTGTCCAATATGAAAGGGAAAATTTCCATAAGGAATTGCCATATAACGTCCTAGCTGGCTACCACCTTGTGACATGACTCAGAGGTGCTCAACCACAGCTTGTCGCGAAATATTTGGGAAAGGAGGAGTCTCTGCCATACACAGGGACAAGGAACGTTGACCTGGACTCCCACAGCAACTCTGACCTTCTGCCTCTCGGAGGAGAGACGCATGCTGCTTCATTTCAGACGTGTTTCTCCTGTGCCAGAAATGGAGATACCCAGCCCACACAGCGTGTCGCTATCAGATGTGCGCTGCTCACCCGGCCTGGTGCACAGGATGTTTCCTCTTCAGATGTCTGCTTGGCCTGAATCCTGAGCAGGCTCTAACTTCTGCTGAAATAATTAATATCTCGTCTCTGCCAAACTTGCACAAGTCGTTTAAACAAAGCGGTTCTCGCTGCCTCCCCCCAGAGCCCCGTCTCCGCTCCTCATCCCGATACCTTATCGTGCTACGGACAGGATGTTTTACATTGCTTTCTCTATGGTGACCGCACAAACATCCTTTCACTATCAAAAGCCCTCGCAGTGTTACTGTATTGCAGAGCCTTTGATCTGCGCTTGGATAATCAAAGATAAAATTAAGACTCCTTCCACCCTGCTTTATATCTGGCTAGTCCTGATTTAATAAAAATTGAATGTTGACCACCCTACACCCAAAAACTTGGGAATGTTATTTCAGTAGTCAGGAGAAAGGTTTGGATCCTGGTCACTGAATGCGAGATGGTTTGGGTGTTGTCCCAGCACAGTCTCTCACCAGGAGCACAGAAGTGTGTACAGAGTTAGTGCTTGTTCTCCATTAAAATCATTCCACTAAAATGATTTATCAGTCCTGTTACACATCTCTGTGTGCCAAGAAGTCCCAAATCACCCAGCATTTGCTCCTTATTATTCTCATTCCTGGTGCTTAAGTGACTTCAGGTATTGGTAGGCAGATGGGTCTTGGCCTTCACCTTCTGGTATTTGAGATCAAACAGAGCTTTGTAGGTTGTGCTTAGGCAGCTATGGATTTGGTTCATTTTTGCCTTGTAAGGCTCATGCGTGTGGCAGTAACTGGTTTGCAAAACCCCTTTCCCAGGCTAGATGTGAAGTCTGTGTGCTGTGCACCGCTTTGTGCTCTGCTGCTATTATTGGCCACACGTTTTATCTTGGACAGCAGTTGTCATGGCAAGTTTATCGTGCCAGATCTGCAGTCTCAGATCAGCCGGCCCATGAGAGCAGGACCTCTGACACCGCGAGCCAGCGTATCCCTGTGCTTGTCCATATTTAGCTGCTGTGAGATGACACCAGTTTGCATTCTGTGTATCTAATGATGCCGTTTAATTAGGACTTGACTGGAGAAGCGACTGATTAAACGTTACCCGTCATAAGCGCGTAAGAAAATCTTAAAGAAGATGGAAAAGTGGTAGAAATACACACTGAAAACTTCTCTGGTTAAATCTGTCCTCGTATTGAGGGCAAAGAGCTCACAGTCCATCCTCACAAAAACATTGAGGCTCTGTTCCTGAGCTGCAGCCTCTCTGGGGAGAGCGGCTTTGTGTCCAAGTACGGACACTGAGCCATTTTCCAAGCCTTCTCATTCGGTGGGGTGGCAGTAATGGTTTTACTGTGTTATATTTATACCCAGGCTGCTGTCACGCAGTGCACACGAGTGTTTGGCAAAGCAGGTGAGCAGCTGGGGCTGAGATCTGTACCAGATGTGCTGGACGAGCTCCTGTACCTGACAGGGGGGTTCAGTGCCTGCTCTCCCTGCACTGTCCGTGCCCAGCAGCCCTGCTCCAGTCTGCACCAGGGGTAGAAGCCCCTTCTGGGGGCTTTGGGGAGCACCCCAGGCTGGCCCAAGCCTGGCTCCCTGCTGTGTGGCCTCTCCTGAGAAGGACTGGGTGCCTCCAGCCCATCCTTACCGGGGGCTTCTGGCTCCATCCCAAGGTAAAGAGTGGCTCCATCTGGGAAAGGACGTGGAGATTTGATCTCCTTTATGCAGAATCCTTCTGTGCGTGCAGGTGCCTTTACTGGGGTCAGCCACCCCTTGCGTTTGCACTTATTCCTACAAGCGACATGTTTTTTCCAATTAATACATTTTTCTTTACTTAAATCACATCCTACGCCTGTTATGTTTCTAGCCAGCTTGTCTCCTGCAAACTTCTCTTTGCAGAGATTCTTAAACCTATCTTTTGGGCCTTCCAATAATCATAGGTAATTGGAAGGAGGTGGGAAACTTTCACTGGGTGTTCCTCTTCTCTCTGCAATTTTGCAGAATCAGGTGGAGCAGTGGGATGCTTCTCATCCCAGCCTTAAAGCCTGAAGCGACTACAGGAGACCTTGCAGTGTACTGCAGGAGTGGAGCAGGAGCTTTTAAGAAAATTTCGGTAGTCTCTTAGGTCACTTATTTCTGAGAAGAGACTTGGTGGAATCTCAAAGCCCCTTCAGTTGGGTTGTGGATTGGTTTGATTTATTTTTTTTTAATGGACTTTACACTTGGTCCTCAAAGTCACAGAATCACAGAATCACAGAATCACTCGGTTGGAAAAGCCCTCTGAGCTCATCACGTCCAACCGCTCCTGTCTACCCCCTAAACCATATCCCTAAGTACCTCATCTACCCGCTCTTTAAACACATCCAGGGATGGTGACTCCACCACCTCCCTGGGCAGCCTGTTCCAGCTTCTGACGACCCTCTCAGTAAAGAACTTCCTCCTTATCTCTGACCTGAACCTCCCTTGGCACAGCTTGGTGCCGTTTCCCCTTGTTCTATCCCCCATCACCTGGGAGAAGAGACCAGCACCCACCTCTCTACAACCTCCCTTGAGGTTAATCCCTTAAGTCATCCTCATCTCCAAGAATGATTTACAGGCTAAGGCAATGCTGGTACGTTTTGAAGCGTGATAATACCCAGAAGGGTGGTAGAAGTGGCTTCCTGCAGCTCCCATGCTGTAGAAGGTTCCCTTGCAAGGTTTTACCTCATTCCCCAAAGCTCCAGGTGAACCAGAGGGCCAGGCTTGGATGGGTCTCAGGAGCCAGTGATGTGCACAGGGATCTGAATTGCTCTGGACTGGTTTGGAGCCATGGGACACAAAGAGGACTTTTAATCCTGCAGTGAGCAGAGCTTCATGTGATGGAGGAATCTGATCTCTGATCTCATCTCAGCTTTGAAAGTGTTTTTCCATGTTTTTGATGTAAACTACATTCTTTGGGATTGCCAGTCCTTTTACCTCCCCGCCAGTCTGAGAGTGAATTCACAGGGGACAGATGAAGAACTCTTCTGTCTTTGAGATCCAGACGTTGCTTTTGATGTTCGGTGAGCAGGAGGAGAATGTCTTTCATTGGAGACCTCGATACAAATGCGTCTGCATTAAGAAACAAAATTGGGCTGGTGGTTTTGGTGTGGTACTTAAGGCCGCATGATGAAATCGTGCCATAACTCTGTACAATTTATGGTTTTCAGGAATGATGAAGGGAAGCCTAGGGTTGAAACAGCAGCAGCACAGCAAGCGCACTGCAGACCTGGGCCGAGGGTGTCCATAGCTGTTAAGCTCTTGGTTTACTGGCAGTTTTGGTTTACTGGCTCTTGGTTTACTGACAAATGCCTGAGATACCAGGCTGCAGAGTTGCGTTGAGGTTTGCTGTAGTAGATCCTTGTCTGGCTGCTTTTCCCACACACATCCTGGAGCAGAAGCTTTCTATCCACTCCTTTTTTGTCTGAACTGGACCGTGCTGGCCTAGGCTCAGGACCGCGGCGTCCCCTCTGCCACTGCAAGGGGGGTCACAGCTTTTCCTGGGCTCCACCTTGCAGAGGCAGCACTGCAGTTTGCCTCTTCAAGTGGCATTGCCCAATGCATGTCCAACATGGGCTTGTCAAATTTTAAATTACGAATCTGCAGCCTTCTGCTGCTGTTTCTTGAAACCTTCTTTGCCCTTAATTCAGGATCCTTTAGGTCGCCACGATGCTGGCTTTGAAACACAGGGTCTCTCTGCCCTCTCTCATCAGTCGTTGCCCTTCCAGGTCTCTCTGGCAGCAATTCATTGGAGTTCATTCATCTCTGCAAGACGAAAGTTGGCTGAACAGACAGGCACGTTAAGGGCTAAATAATATTACCAAGTTATTAGGGAGTGCTTTCTATCCAGAAGGTCTAAGCCTTTTCCAGAGGAAGTTGATGTTATCTTTTTAATGGATTGTGAAACTGAGGCCAGTGCCCTCCCTGCAGCTCTTGGGATGGAGCACAGGTCCCTGACACCCACCCCAACACGCTACTCTGGCTGTTCTTTTATTGGCATCCGCAAGCACACGTCTTCCCGATGGTCCCAGCGCTGTCTTCCACTGTTTCCTTCCAAGGAAAAGAGGGAATTGTGCCCTTTTCTCCAGCACGGATCCTCCGTGGTTTCAGTCCGATGTGTGCTACCACATGGCTTTTCTGGCTCTGCGTGCTTCCCCCGGTCCTCGTTCCAGAGGCGGAAAAACACGCTGGAAGAGTTACTGCTCTGCTCCTTTTTATTTGATGTTCTCTGCCTGTTTCTGCAGAGCCATTTAGATAAGGGGATTTATCAAGCTTGAACTAATTAACCCTGCATGCAGGAAGTCAGAGTGGAGCGTTCCAGCTGTGAAATCCTCAGGGTTACCCTGCAGCTCACATGGGTCTGCAGGAATTTCCCATCTCTTTTTCCCCCGTGGTGAACTTTTGCTGTTGCCTTTCTGGACTCTCACTATGGTGCCAGGAGGGTGCTTTGCTGGCAGAGCTGTTCCTGTGCGCAGGAGGATCTCATGTGGCACAGGAAGTCCCTGCTGCCGCTTCAGGGTTTCTGTTCTTGGAGATTTCTTTTCCCTTTATTGAGAGAGAGAGGGTTGATTTGGAAAGAAATCCGGTAATTTTGCCTGTAGGAAGAGGCTTTAGAAGTTGTTGCCAATCGCTTTCTCAGTGCAGAACTGACAGCCAAAGAGTGACTTCACAGAAAAGGGAGGGAAGCGGCTACCTGAAAGGTCAAGATAGGAAAAGAAATCGTTGCTTAGTTGACTGCACAAGGAATTTGTGCCATCAGAGCCTTCTCCCCCTTGTTTCATGTTGCCATAGGTCCCATGGGTCTTAAGAGAATAGCGATCCAAGACAGAGTTTAAAGACCTTGGTTTGGTTTTTGGTGTTCGCTGGCTGTGCTTGGTGGTGTCAGACTGCCTGGGAAGCCCAAATGTGTCCTCCTGCCAGGTTGAAGAGAGGTCTAGAGAGAGCTTCTGAAGCTCTGATCCAGAAGAGAGACCTCCATGACACACATCTGGAAGCAGTTGAAAACACGAGGGTTTCCAACAGAATCCAAGCCAGAGAAGAGAAATTCCTGTGTGCTCACCTTGGAGTGCCCATCTCTTGTCAGCACCAGCGGAGCTGAAGCCCTGGCTCACATGGGGACCCTGTGGCCATCAGACTATTTCCCTCCTACAGGAGGGGCTGGGAGGGAGAGATATCATTGAATCGTACGAAGATCACTCTCACTTTTACCCTTGTGAAGGGTTGCACTTCCAGATTTAGTGTCTGCTTTTGGCACCAAACCATTTGAAAGCGTCTCCTACTCCATTGCAAAGTCAGAAGTGCAGGTAATGAGTCCCTGGATAATTCAGCTCAGCCCTTTCCCTTCAAGGACGAGACCTGTGATAGAAGCGCAGGATGGCGAGTCAGGAGGTGATGAACTGGAATGGAGATGCTCTTTGCAGCCTGCATCAGGTCTGTGTGTCTGCTCTCGGGCTGCTGGGAGGATAACACTGGTTTGTCTTTAAGGAGTGGAGCGAGCATCGTTCTGTTCATGTCTATGGAGTTTGCAGGCATATTTAATGGCACTTTTCTTTTTGCTGGAATCACCTGCTTAGGTTATTCTTATTTTTCTCCCCTGCCCGTTGCTGTGTGAGCAGAGCTGCTTGCTTCTCTGTGAACCAAACTGGGAACATAGAAATAGTCTGGGTTAAGGACAAAAACCCCAAAAGATAGAAAGGTTTTTGATAGGATTACTTCAAGGTGGACTGGTTCCCTGGCCATCTGCAGTGCAGATGCACAGGTAGCTGGTTCCAGCACGTGTGAGGGTATTGGCATGGAGGGAACACACAGTGAGTGATGTCTGGGTCTGCTGTCACAAGCAAATGATTGAAGCAGACCCAGACACCCTTGCCCTGGTGTGTGTCGACACTGGGGACAAGGGCTCGGTGTTACCAGTTCATGTTCTTTCTGCTTGGAAAGGAAAGCTTGAATCCAGTGGTAACTTCAACCCCTGCTCATTATGATTTTTACTGTTTTTTCCAGATTGCCCGACAGGAAGGAAGAGTCATTTTAACCTCTGGGCTCCCATATCAGACTGTAAGTGTTCAGAGCTTCTGGCATTTTTCTGGCGTTGTATCATTGCGTGGTTGGGGATGTGCAGTATAGAGAAAAGGAAAAGTCAGATGTGAAAGCAACATCTGGCTTGGCTTTTTCATGTTCTCTGCACTAAAAACTACATTAAGGGTCTTGAGAGGTTTGCTGTTCTGAACGACCAAAGCTTGGGATGAAATTTCTTCTGTACTCAGTCCCACATCAGTGGGGAGAGCGGTTGCTCTCCGCTGGGGACAGGGGGTGGAAATGAAGCCAAGCAATCCAGAACAAAGTGTTCCTGTTTGGCCTCGCTGGCAGGTGACAGGCAGCTCAATTCCCATGCATTTTATCACAGAGATTCTTGTTTACTGTCTGGCTCCACACTGCATATTTCAACACTTCAAGACTTCTCTTCAGGCTTGGAAGGGAGAGAATGGAAGCCGCCGAGTGCCCGGTGGAAGCTGTAGAGGTGTTGTGTGCCTGTAGATTAGCAAAATAACCAAAGCCAAACCCAGCCTTACCCTCGGCACCAAATGTCCAGAGCCCTACATGAGACACACTTCAAAACAGCGTTGGTGGGAATATCCTGGACCTGTCAAGTCAGCGGGTACCACGTTATGATGCCTGCTGCAGGTCCTGTGCTCTTTGTTATTGCCCAAAAACTCACTGGAAGAGTGAAACCATTCCTGATCACACACAGGAACCAGAGCGCAGGGCTCTGTTACAAGCTATTGCTGTAAAAGCTCCCAACTACTCAAGCAGCTGGCTGGAGTGTGTGCAGATTTCCTACAAAACAGCTGAGCAACGAAGAAAACTCCCCCCATGATGAGAAACCGTGAGGCAAGTGCAGCCATGCCATGACACAGGGTTCCTTATCCAGGCTGTGGTTCCTTGAGCCCACAGTTGTTGTAAAAGGTAACTCAGCATCCAGCATAATCTTATTTGGCAAAGCTTTAACTTCAGAGCACCACGTGGGAATTGCAATAGCAAAATAACTGCTTCCCAGTGTAAAATACTGTCCTGGGAAATGTCTGGTTCCCTTTGCCTTTGTATGGCCTACATGGGGCCATGGTGGCTCTGCTGGGCTCCTTTACTTGTGTGTAGCTGATCCCACCTCGCTCTGAGTACCCATCACGTTCATAAAGATGTGTCTGGCCCTTCCCAGGGCTTGTTCCCAGACACAATCACCTCTGCTAAATGTGGAACAAACAGAGAGAAGTGTCCACGTCAGCCCCTTCAGGTCCATCAGTGAGCTCCAGGTGAAATGCTCTATGAATTTAGGGTTCATACCTGAAGTGGTGAAACTGGACATCACCTCCATCGTTGTGCTTTTGCACAGTGTGTGTGATCTGACCAGGGTTCATGTGAGAGCTGTGTTTAAAGTCCATTTCCTCTTGCTACCCCTGTCAGCACCACACCATCGAATCATACATTAAAGGGGATTTGGGCAATCGTGTTTCATGCATTCATATATAAAATGCTGCAGTGTTTCAGCAGTCGCAGAGCTATTGCAGCAGCGGTGAAGTGTTAACTTACCAGTTGTGCTTGCTAGATCAAAATTCAGCCTGTAAACACATCCCAACTCCAAATGTTAGTTATAATTAAAAGCAAACCAAGTGTATTGGGAAAAAAACCCCACGGATCATGATGCATGGAGGGCCTCACTTGTTGTCTCTGTGGTTTATGGCTTGTCTTTTGAAGCTCCAGTCCCAGGTAGCAGAAGGAAGGTGTTTCTCTGTGAACTGCTCAGAAAAGGCCAAGGAACAGGCCCTGCAGGTTTTGAAGCACTTCAACGTTCAAGTGTCCCTGGCAGATATCTTCAGCCGCTGCCAGGTAGGACAGAGCTCGTTTGAGTTACAGTTCACGCTCGTTCTGCGCGCAGCAGGCGCTGCTGCGGCTTTTTGGGCTCGTGCTCGGTGTCTTGAACTTGGTTCCCAAGATTCCTGCTTGAACTTTGGCAGCGCCTTGTAAAGCCCCGAGCGTGCTGACATCCGTCAGGAGAGCAGAGGCGCTGCATCTGCAGCTTGCTAGAAACTGCTGCTTTGGGGATTTTTGGTACTTGGCATGTGTTTTGGCATTGGCTATCACGGCTATGCTCTCTTTGTTGCTGTGTTCTCTGTCGAGGACACATGCTGTTTTAATTATAAACCGTGTTTAATTATGGCTCTGTGATTCTGATAACACTTAATTACTTTAATAGGAGGATATTTTTTTTTCTTTAGGACTGTATTTTTTTCAGAAGCTATTAGTTTAATTCGTGTCCATGCTGGTTGATGACTCCGGATTGCGTTTGGCACTGGATATCTGTGGATTGTTTTTAAGGCGAAATTTTAATTGTGTTAGCTCAAATCTCCATCCCTTCCAATTTCCCTCTTGTGTTTGTTACAGCAACACGCTGAAACCTATCCCTTCAAAACCCGTAATGTAAACCAACTTGCGACTTCAACATCTCTCATCTTATCAGTGTGCAAGGAAAGCAAAGGGCAAGAACTGTAAATCTGGCTAGAAAAAGGAGCTTTCTCTTAGGAATAAACAAGCCAGCTGAACACTTCAGTGGAGCCTGGCTCAGTGCCTCGTGGTGGAGTTCATGGGGTCCTCTGGCCTGGTGCTGCTGCACGAGGGGTGCAGGAACAGCAGTGACTTGTGAGCAAACGTTTTCTGCTTGTGTCTGGTGTCGGTTGTTGGAACTGTGTCTGTAACTGATAGAGGAAATGAGGGCTGCCCAGCCGGGCAGGGTGTCTGAAAGAGGAGGATGAGGTAAGGCCGTGCAGGCTGGATCGACATCGGATGGGCTGATCGCTTGATCTCACTCTGGGATAAATGTGTCCACTCAGACATAAGATAGAGAGTTTAGCCTCGTGGTTTTATTGTTCCGAGGGCAGATTGCAGTTGTTACACAGTGACGTGCTGGCTTCTTTGCTATTTAAACAGAAAACTTTAAAAAACCCAATGGATTCTCCGATTCCCTGAGATCCTGTAAAATAGCAGTGTTCTTCATGATGGTTATTGAAATACTACAAGAATAAGCACACACAAAGCAGCCATGCTGCAGACAGCTCTCTGTAATAAACGTTATATGTGTAATAAATGCAGAAGACTGTGCAGCATCCGATATCAAACTGACCCCTTGCCCGTGATCTGGAGTCTGGAACTGTTTAACTCTACGGCTTTTTAGTACGTGCTGTCTTAGTTTACAATATATATAGTGGTAATCAATCTGGCTAGGAATATATACTGAGTGTTCTCTTACCTCCAGCAGAAATGCCTTCCCTGTGAATTGTGGTGGTCGAACAGCTGCGTGTTTTATACCGCTAGGCATGGGAAGATGCTATTATTTTGTGTTCTGAATCATCTCTTTACCTCCATTTCAGGAGCTGATTTTGTTCAGCTGTCCTCTGCAGACTGTACAAGTTTTGCTAACTCTTGCAGTTGCTCTGGAGGAGGATCCGGGCTCTCACAGCGGTGATGCCCAGCAGCTCCCTGGGGTGCTGGGTGCTGTGTAGGGGGAGCTGTGGGCAGCGGGCTGAAAAGACTTGTATGGCATAACTGCAGAGGATTGACTAAAAATGGCAAATTTCTGCTTTTAAGAGCGTGCTCTGGGGTCACTGTGGCCAATGGAGACCTCAGCGCTTCACTTGTGAGTTCCTTCTAAAACATCTCTGCAAACGAATGGGGCTTAATTAGGATGGAGGCTTAAACTGCCGAGCTGTGCCTCTCATCCAGCCTGGTCTGGTCTTTAACCGGGTTACAGACCTTGGGGCTTGCAAACTGCTCTGGGGTCTGCCATCTCCTTGAGGAAATGTGTGTTTCTAATGGGCAATGTGGGTTTGGGCTGTCCCCATAGCAGGGGAGCACCAATGTCACTAATGGGTGATGCAGGTTTGGGCTGTCCCTATAACAGGGGAGCACCAATGTCACTAATGGGTGATGCAGGTTTGGGCTGTCCCCATAGCAGAGGAGCACCAATGTCACTAATGGACAATGAAGGTTTGGGCTGTCCCCATAGCAGGGAGCCTCTAGGAGTGACCCAGTGCTGCTGTGGCTGTGCTGGGCAGGAGGAGGAGGCCGGGTATCACTCACTCAACCCACGCCGCTCTCCTTCCTCGCCTCGGCGTAGCACGGCCGGTGTCTGAGCCGTGGAGGACGGCCCCACCGTGCTTGCCAGGGCTGGAGATGGGTTATCGGCCGCGATCATCCCCTGTAGATAAGCGTTTTCTGTGTGTCACAGGAAGCAATGTGGCATCCTGCCTGGCTCTCTCTGTCTGGTGGAGCAAGGCCTTGTTTTGTCTCCTGGGCTTCTGTTCTGTAAATGATTTGAGTCAATATGTCAGCAAATATTGTTGCCCTAACAATTAATGCGTGTAGCGCAGAGCGCATGGTAAAAATAGGTCCCAATTCAATGTTGTACCCGAGATTGCTGTAAAATATGTTTCCTCTGTCAGCTCCCTCAGCAGGGATGGACAGTCTCTCTTTTCCAGAGATGAAGAATGGGCTTGCTTTGTAACCCTGCCAAAACCCTGCCTTTTTGTTAAAACAATGGCAAATACTGCTTACCTCCATCTGACTTAGAGCACAGAGAGTTTCACCCATGGGCTTCTCGGCATTTCTGCTTTCAGTTGTGCCAGACTTCAGCTTGGGTTGCTCTGGTTAAAGGCTCCAGAAATGGAAATCACTGCTGGCTGCGTCCGTCATGGCCTTCCAAGTGTGGTCTTCATATCGCGTGTGCCTCGTGGAATATTGTGTCCAGTGCTGGGCCCTCAGCTCCAGAAGGACAGGAACTGCTGGAGAGAGTCCAGCAGGGCCACAAAGATGCTGGAGGGAGTGGAGCATCTCCTGCTGAGGAGCGGCTGAGGGAGCTGGGGCTCTTGAGCTTGGAGCAGAGGAGCCTGAGGGGTGCCCTCATTCCTGGGGATCCATTGGGAAAGGGCAGTGTCAGGAGGAAGGAGCCAGGCTCTGCTCTGGGATGGCCAATGCCAGGACAAGGGGCAATGGTCCCATTGCCTGATGCAACCTGGACGACTGACTTGGCTTTTTCCATCTTGTTGTCTGAAGAGCCACCTGAAGCAGGCGTAGGCTGCATCTACTGACCTGGCCTCTTCATTTACCGCTCTCTTTCTTGGTCAGCCCCAGGTACCCAGGACATTTTGCTTCCTTTGGCCAAGGTGTGGTGGTATCTGACCGAGCCAACTTCTTGTCAGGGAAAAAACCACTTGTGTTGAAGGAGATAAATTCAGGAAAGGGGCTGGCAGCCCTCGCCTGTGAGTAATGCTGCCCTGACAGGGTGAAATTACGGTTTGAATGGTGATAAACCGAGGAGATAAACTGTGCAAGTTGTTAGCTTTAAATCTTGATATCACAAGTGTTTGTCACGACGGTTTGCAGGGAAAACAGCGTGTTCAGTGTTGTACGGGATCGCCGATGAATTGCTCCCGTTATAGAAGACCCTCTGCTGTGAAGTCCTTGCTGGTTTGAGGCTCTGCAGACAAATTTGGAGCCAGGAGGGCCTGTCCATCTTCAGAAAAGCTGAGTTGTGCTTGACTTGGAAGCGTAGCTGCTGCTCAGCTCGATTTTGAACCCAAAGCTTTGCTCTTGTACAAGGGAGCGGGGTAGGGGCCCTGGGTCCTTGCACCCCTTGGGCCTCTCTTTGCCTTGACCCTTGAGCATTTAAGCTGGTCCAGGGTGAGGACCCTGTTTGAACACCACCTGGGAGGCTGATCCCAGGTGAGGTTTCAAGGCTTTCCTGCAAGGATTGCAGTTACATCCCCTGCACAAATAAACGTGCACCTATAAAAGGATTTCTGGCTCCAGCTGCAGTTTCTGCAACTGCATAGCCCTGCATTGATTATAGGATTATCTGCAAATTCAAATAGGTCGTCTCTTTCACTTCACCGAGTGCTCTGATCCTAAATAAGCAAATGACATCACCTATTCTGGTGTCCTGTTTAACTTATGACCTCAGCCTGATCGCCGCAGGATGTGAGAGATAGCTGCGTTATTTCATTGTCTGGAGATCTGATATCTCCCCCCCCTTCCCTGCCCTTTCGGTTTCAAAGCTGCTCACCCCAGCCTTTGAGAAAGGTGTTAGCATGGGATTAGGAGTAGGCGGGGAGGTGGGGGGTGGGAGAGGAAGAGAGGAAACCACCTTTTATTTTGTTTAAATTAGGTGCAGAAGCGTTCTAACAGTTGCAGCAAATGTTTCTGGTTTCTTGCGGTGGAGGTAACGAATTTCATTGCTGCAAAGCTCATCACGCGCGAGCTGATTTGCGCAGAGGGAGCCCAGTTTGGAGCAATCCATTTAGCAGGGACAAAGCAAAAGGCCTTATGATGAGATGAAAAACCCTGCGCTCGGGGCACTTTGCGAGAACCTTTGAAGCCGGCCTGGGAACTCTGGCAATATTAGTCGATAATTAGTAATATAGATCCCTCGAGCTGTCGTCTAGGTTGAAAATGTGCATGTCTCTCATGAGCCTCTGTCACACCAATCTGATCAGCAGGCTTTTTTGTTCCTTTTATGTGGCTTGCTCTGTCGGTCCAGATGATGATGAGAACTGCCAGACATCATCTTTCTCACTAACTCATGAGCCGAGCAGCTATCTCCTGCCCTAGCGTGGCATGGGAGTGGGACCAGGGCAATTTTGTTTTGTGGTCACCTTTCCTGGCCTGAGCAACAGTCATTTCATTCATTTAAATGTCACACTTGTCATTCTCCCTGCGTAGAAAAAAACAAAACCCAGTCCAATTTAAAGGTTACGTATTTCATCGGGTGTTTCTTCCCCAGCAGACAGCGAGGGGTTTGTCTCGGGAGCTGCTTAGGACAAAAAACATCTGCAAGC